ATCCCTTGGGGACTCACCACAGCCTGTACAGGGGGTGACCCCCTCCTCAGGCCAGGCAGGGGTGTCACCCTGAGATGTGGGGAGTTGGGGGGGGGGAATGGACAACACTAAGGACCCCAACCCTGTGTCCCCCCACCCACCCCCAGCCGAGAAGGCGGTGCTGCAGAGCAAGCTGGACCGGACAGCCCTGACCAAGAAGGAACTGGAAGAAAACTGCCGCAAAGAGGGGTCCACCTTGACTACGGTCACCCAGGTGCAGGAGAGCTGCCAGCAGAACCTGGAGACCCTCAAGGCCTCCTGCAAGGCCACCGAAACCAACCTGGAGCAGCAGAAGAGCGAGTGCAGGAGCCTGAAGTCCGAGATCAACTACACCTTCCAGCGCATCAGGGACAAGCTCAACCCCTACAGCTGCAGCTCCGTCCACGAGCAGCTCGACTGGTTGACCCAACAGACGGAGAGGCTTTTCCTCTGGCAGCAGGACCGGGAGACCAACTACGTGACGAAGAAGGTCTGCGATGTCACCCTCAACCAGTGCCACCTCAACTGCTCCCGGGAGAAGCAGGAGCTGGAGAAGCGGCTGCGGGAGATGGAGAAGCAGGTGAAGGTGGGGCAGGAGGAGAAGAAGAAGGTGCTGGGGGAGAAGGAGCAGCTGGGCAAGGAGCTGGAGGAGAAGAGCAAGGCGGCCGCGCAGGCCACGTACTTCAGGGACCAGTTCAACATCTGCATGAACACCAAGGTGAGGGAGCCACCGGGGACACCGGGGACCTCCCCAAGCACCCGGGGTGGCCACGCCGGGGGCACACCAGGCTGGGCACCCCCAGCTCACTTTTGCACGAGCAGCTTCTGCACTCGAGCTTCAGCAAACGCACCTTTTCACGGGCATTTTCCTTCGCATCCGCAGCTGCTTTTGCACGAGCTTCTTTCTTTCACACGAGCATCTTTCTTCCTTATTTGGGCAAACGCACCTTTGCACGGGCGTTTTCTTTTGCACGAGCATTTTCCTTTGCATACGCATTTTCTTTTGCACACACATTTTCTTTTGCACACGTTTTCTTTTGCACACGTGCTCTTGCACGAGTATCTTTCTTTAGCACAAGCATCCTTAGCACTTACACTTCGGCAAAGGCACCTTCGCACAGGCATTTTCTCCTGCAAATTCAGGCTTTTTTTGCACTTTTGCACGCCTGCTCTTGTGGGAGCACCTTTCATTTGCACGAGCACCTTTCTGTTGCACTCGCAGTTCCACAAACTTCCCGCAGCCATTTTCTCCTGCAAATCCATTTTCTCCTGCGCACGGGCTGTTGCACGAACATCCCTTTTTTGGCACAAAAGCATCTTTCCTTTGCCCACACCCCTCTGCCCACACTCTCCTGCTCACCCGCGGGTGCACCCCGGGCAGGACCGAGCCCCCGCAGCCCCCTGGGACCCCCTTGGCCCAGAGGTGCCCCTCCGAGCAGGGCAGCGGTGCCAGCACTGACTGTCCCTGTCCCCATCCCTGTCCCCATCCCCTCTCCTCCCCAGGTGGACACCTTCTTCGACCCCACGGGCTCGCGGGTGCTGGGGGGCAGCGGGCGGATGGTCCCCTTCCCCAGCACCAGCTCCTACAGCTCCTACGTGGATGCTCTGAGGAACCAGGGCATCTTCGGGAACATGGGTGAGTCCTGAGGAGTGGGGGGTTTGTCACTGTGGGACACCGTCCTCCCCATCGTGCTGGGGGCCAGCGTGTGTCCCCCCCCAACCTCCCACAGCCCCCAGGACTCAGCCCCCCTTTCTCCATCCCACCAGGGAAAATCAACACGGAGGAGATCCAGCGGTCGGTGCAGAAGATCATAGAGCAGTACACGTTGGCCAACCTGAAAAACTCCAGGTGAGGTGGGACGGGGGGCCCGGTACGGGACCCCCACTGGTGCTTTG